GGATAGTAATATTTTGGAAGAAGACAATTGATTAAAAAAATTTTAGAGAATGACCTAAAAAATTTAAGGAACTCAATCAATATTAAAAATATGATTGATATATAAAATTATTACAAGTCATTTATAAATTTTTGAAAAGCTAGTTTAAGCTATTAATATTTAAAAAATAATTTATAAATTTTGAATGAATATTTATAGATAATAATATTTAAATTATTAAATATTAAAATACTTAATATTTTGGCAATATTTCTTAAATTTTATTTTAGCAAGGCTTCAAGATGTCCAATGCTTCTAGAAAAAGACTTTAGGATGGTTAGTGCTCCTAGAAAAAGGGTTCACAGGCAAATTAACAACAAAGGATATAATCAGAGTTTTACCTATCACTATGTGTGGGTCTTATGCACATGTCATGTCAGCAAAAAATGAAAAAATTAACGATGAACTAACAGAAGGGGTTTTTTGCTTCTTGAAAAATATTTCAGGGGTAAAATTGCCATATCTATTAGTATAGGGTGCCTAGTGCTCTTTAAAAAAAAAATTCAGGGATAAAAATATACCTTAATCCAATTCAATATCCTTTCAGAATGGTTGTGATGAGCTGACCCTCCATCTCCTTCAACCCAATTCCATCCCTTCACAATCAAATCTTTAAACAGTATGTGGTCAATCATTCTCTATTGTATTGCCATACTTTTGCTGGCAAACTCAATCGTTTACATTAATGATATAGTGATTACACGAGATGATATCATTTCATTCAAAATCATTCTTGCATTTGTAGCTCGTGAGGTTTATTGTATACAAAACCAAAACACAACCAAATATTTTACTGGAAAGGTACATATTTTGCTCATTTATGCATCTATCGTGCATGCATATAATGCTGTTATATCGTATATTTAATTTTGATATTTTTACAAGAAAACCTCTCTATATAGATAAGATTGATGTCACTTCTGAAAATGAGATACTGTTTTATGGTGTGGAAGGGGGATTTTCTAGGGGAAACGATAACGAAACAAGTTCAGACTTCAAAGCAATGTTGAAGAAATGGGAATGAACTGGACAAAAATGAACAAATGTTAAAAATTGTGGTGGAGCTAATAAATATCCATTACTCATTCTTAATCATTTATTTATTTATTTATTTATTTTAAAACACTTTAACTTTATACTTGGAACTTTATTTTTAAGGTATAGATTGGATTTGATAAAGTAATGGATGCATCAAATGGACTATGGATCATATGTCAATTTTCCATGTAATTAAGCTTGAGGTGGATTATTATAGGTATGAATATGAGTTATATGCTAGGAATGTTCTAGCTTACAGTGTGAATTGTGCATTGGATCATTGATGCTTGTTGGAATTGTTGGATGTGGGCCTTCAGTCTTACTGGGCTTAGACCCACAAAACACAAAACCTAGGGTTTTTTTCCTTTTTAAGATAATAACATTATTTTTCCTTTTATATTCTGTAATTAGTTTTATCTTTATTAGATTAGATATTATAGCAGTGATTTGAGGGATCCGAATCAGATTATCCTCTCCTTCCCTCATCTATATATGTACCTCGGTTCTATTCAGTAATACACAAGGAATTATACAGTAAATATTTACATGAATTAATGCATGTTTTAAAATATTTAGGATGACTCTACCACTAGCTGTATATGTGTTGGATGTTGACTGTAATTAGGAGTGTGATTAGGGACTCTTACAGAGTGCATGTAAAACAAGGTGTGCATAAATTCCATGGTGAGTGACTTTTGTTTGTGTAACTGACGATCCAGATATGGACTAGTACATTGCAACGAACAATTCTGACCGCAAGCCCAATTGTTGGATTTCCCAAGGTTAGTGTCATCCTTATCAACCTAAGTTTATGGTCGCATGCAGTCATGTCAACTATCAGCAGATAAGTGGACAAAATTATATATTAATGGTGTTCCAGAGATTACTATCCTTATGTTTGTTAGATACAATGGCGCGCACTTGACGAGATAAATGCTGGGGCATGTGATGGGATGACCTATGAAGAGATCAAGAAGAACATGCCAGAGGAGTATGGGTATGTCATAGATTTGTAAACTCTCTCCCCCATTGGCAAGCACAGATGCTCACTTTTTAAGTTGAACGTGACTGATAAATCAGTTAAGGGAAGCACAGGCTAGGAACTTGTAAGCGGAGCAGAATGCTCTTCAAAATTTGTGAAATAATTTGATTTTCCAACTGCAGATCTCGCAAGAAAGACAAGCTTAGGTATCGATATCCCCGTGGAGAATCTTATCTGGATGTAATTCAAAGGTTGATAATTGTACTTCTTGCATTAATTTTAATCCAATATTCAACTTGTTTGATGTAATAGCGACTCTTGTCAATTCTGATTGTAATGCAGGCTAGAGCCTGTAATTATTGAGCTTGAGCGACAACGGGCGCCTGTTGTTGTGATATCTCACCAGGTTGTGTGTCATGTTAAACTTGTCCTTTTAAGATATGGTCTCAGTGTTTGAGTGGTGTAATATTTTTCATGCTCTCTGCTTGCTGTCTCATTACAGGCAGTTTTGAGGGCATTATATGCTTATTTTGCTGACAGGCCTCTGAAAGAAATTCCTCACATAGAGGTAACTTGTGTATTTTTGTAGAAGTTCATTTGTAACTTTTCCTTATTCTCGTTTGGAGAGTGCATATAAAAGATGCGCTTTTTGTCCCCTTCCTATTGCATGAAATCGTTTTTAAATTGAGAAAGAATACAGAGTTGATGCACATGTCTAAATTGATAGAAAACATGTGTAAGGAACATGAAGTATATGATTGTTTGTAACCAGTTTTGTCGTCTTGTGCATTGCATTGCGTGGGAGTCCAGACAAAATTATTTCCTGTTAGTGTGGGTCACGCATAAATTAAATTGGGGAAAAAAAAATAACACTCTGTTTCATAATATAGGTCTTTCGAGGTTGCTACACATTGACTAAGAAATGTAATAAACACATTAAAGTAGGGATTACATTACCAAATTTGCCCCTTGTTTAAAATTGTTGAAGTAAATGTTGCTTTGGATTTTTTAAAAGACTTATAATATGAAACAAGAATTGTTCTGCATGAAGACTGATATTGTCAAATGGGGGGCGTCATACAAACGAACAAATTAGAAGCTTGTAAACCACACACGCACTCGCGCGCGTGCGCACCCCACATCAATGCACTATTTAGAAGCCGTTTATTCCAATTGGCTTCCTATAGAAACTTTATTATAACATGTTATAAACTAAATGGAAGTGGGAATTTGTGACATTGCCGTATTTATGATATAAGGATGTTAAAAATTTTGAAGTTCACTATTTCCTATCTGGACAAACCTTGGAATTTTTTAGCAGTTTGCTATCAAATTTTTTATGAAAACATGAGGAACTTTTTTAAAAAAAAGAAAACTCGATTTTTTGTGGTAAGTTGTTTAAAGTATTTATTTTCTGTCTCTTAATTGAAAGCTCTGATAGTAAACATATATCTAAGTTTTGTCTTGTGTATAGATAAGCATTGGTGGTCACTTTTGGTGAACCGTGAGGCTACTAAAGTTGCTAATGTGAGATTTTCTCATTTCAGGTCCCCCTTCATACGATAATAGAGATACAAATGGGAGTCTCAGGCGTCCAAGAGAAACGATACAAACTAATGGACTGAAATGAGCAGATGAGCAATTCTCTTGTATCATAATCACCTATATATAATTTTTCCATTCTTCAGACTCAATTACTTTGCAAAATTTGATAAATACACTAGAGATGTCTGTTTTGATTTAAGTAACTCCAGCCATTTTTTTTTTGCCCGCTTCTTTTTGGTCAGAACTACTTTATAATATACTAGAATAACCTGCCTGTGTAATGCTCTGGATATTTAAACTTTCAAAAAGCAAAAAAATAGAAAAAGAGGATATATGGTAAAGTGAAATAAAACATATGAATATTGTTGCATAATGCGATCTTAGGAACAATAATCTACAATAATAAACGGTGTCAGTTTATATCAATCTACAATACACCAGGCACTAATGCTTAAAAACATAGAAGGTTTTATTTTGCTAGGAAGATTGAATATTTCTGGGTTTATATCAATTTTTGGTTGGCTGGGACCGATGTCACACACAAGCATGGGCAATGATGCAAACTTCTTTGACAAAATGGTGGAAACTAAAGGCTAGAAAAACGTAATGCTGCATGTCTTTCAAACTTCTGCAATTCCTCAAACCTACCACCAACCACATTTAATTTTTCAATATTTTTGACATGAAACTTTTATTTGTCCCTCAAGTATAGTCCAAGTTTTACTTTTGTCCCAGAAGCAGTTTTTGTTATGCTTAATTTAAAATCTGAAGAATCATAAATATACTTAAAGATAAAAGTTGTTATCAAGTCTTACATTATCAAAATATATAAAACTCATTCTTAGAAATAGTTACTAGTTTTAAAATTATTAACCTTTTTTTTAAAAAAATGCATTTTTTTAAGACACTAGAAGGATTTTTTTCCAATAGTAAATGTTAATTTCTCTTAGAAACAAAAGACAGATTTAATGTTGTCAAAACCGAAGGTATTGAAATGGTCAGAGCAATGGTCTACTGAATCGTGGTTAGACCAGTATCAATTAAAACAATATTTTTTAAATAACACATGTGAAAAAAAAACTTAGTAGGTAATATTTATTCGGATATTGTCAAACATGTCCGAATATATCTTGTAATATTTGCTCACATTAGTCCCATACATGCTAAATTAATACAATCTCATACTTGCTTAACCTAAAATGCTATTTATTGTCATAAATCACCAAACTCATCAAGTATGCTAGATTAATTATCCAACCAAGCTAGTTGTCAGGTCCCACATCGGAGGAAATTGGGGAGGATCCTGGCTATATAAGTGGGTGTGCTGCACACCCTAATGAGCTAGCTTTTTGGGGAGAAAGTAATACCTTGTGACAAAGTGGTATCAGAGCTAGGTTCAAGTTTGCCCAGTCAGTGGGCCCTTCTGGTGGGCCACCCGTGATGGGGGCGTCACAGATTGGTTGGGGGAGTTATCAGGTTCCACATCGGAGGGATTTGGGGAGGGTCTTGGCTATATAAGCGGGTGCGCTATACATTCTAATGAACTAGCTTTTTAGGGAGAGAGTAATGGTCCCATGACATAGTGCAGACTTCCATAATTGACCAGAGTCACTAATAAATCATCAAAGATATAAACACTAAAGAAAAATCAACCAAAAGACAAACAAAAACATAAAATAACATAGCTTTGGGTTGGGTTATTGAAATGTTTTTTTTTTTAAATAAGAGAAATCACTTTTGGGGATTTTCCACTGGTTTTACCAGTTTTGACCTGTTATAGTTGATTTTGACTGTTTTTACGTTATTCACTTTTTGACTAGTTTTTATCAAGTTTGGATTGAATATATGGCCGGTTCCTAGACTGATTGGTCGAACCGACTGGTTTGGTCCAATTTTGACAACAAGATATAAATCCTGACCAAGTACATTTAATCCATATACAAAAGTTGGGAATTGAGTAGAGATTGTATGATAGGTATAATAGAGTGAAATTGGAAAAATATAGTTAAAAATGTCTCTTTTATTCTTTGATAAAATGGAAATAGAAATTTATTATTAAATAATGATAATATAGATATGATAAATATTTATACATCTCAATTTTTGGGACGAGGGTTCTTCCTCTTATCCCAACCACATCCATGTGTCACTTTCCATATTGATGAAAATGACATCTGGCATAAGTGTAGAGTGTTCAATTTCCTCACATTGACTAGTATTTCTGATAGAACTTAGGATCGAACTTTAATTAGTTAAAAAGAATAATTCTCTCTGTTTCTGTCGCTAGGGAGTTCATTTCTTTGGAGGTTTATCTTTGATTATTTTACTTCCTACAATATTCATCGAGGAGAAGTAGTTGTTTTTCTTCTGTGCTGGAAACTACCCTTTCCATGAAAAATTAAACAAAAAGGTCACAACTACACAAGACACAGTATGTATTGCAGATTACAGTACCTCTTTTCTCTGATCCCATGAAAAAGAAATCTATCAGAGTCAATAGCAGAAAACACCGAAGAAGTCTTCATACATTGTTGTTGTTGTTGATAGCACTATTAGTTATAAATTTATCAAGTGAAACCCTGCAAAGAGGACAACTAGGGTTTGCACTTAACCACATGTCCACACACTCTGAATGATAAGCATGCTCACATTCTGGTAACACCTTCACCTTCGCAACATCCTTTAACACACTCAAACATATACAGCATTCTACATTCGAGTCACCTACACTCTTATTCTCCATTGATTCCATCTCAAACTTTGCCCACTGAAGTGTACTACTGGCCGGTACTTGAGAGGTGACTCGGAAGCGCTGGCGACATAAGTGGGCGAGAAGGAACAATGTGACAATCAGAATGATGAGGGAGAAGAAGAAAAGCAGGAGGAAGATGCCATGGCTGTATGAGTGGAAGTTTGAGTGATTTATTTCAATGAAACGCCATTGAAAGATGTGAAGGTGATCATTTTCAAAAGCCATTGAGATGGGTAGAAGAATAACAGTGAAGGTGAGTATATAAAGGCAAGTGGAGGATTTAGAGATTGAAAAGAGAAGTTAGATAGGAAATAAATAGAAGATGGGCATGCTTGCAATGCCCATTCCAGGAGGTAGTTGGTTCATCACGGCGTACTGTATGTGGTGGTTGTGAGCATTTGTTGCCATCTCTTTCACTACAGATGTGAAGGGATATATATCATAGTTATTTCCCACAGGAAACACAAATTTTCTGATTTAAAAAAATTATTATCTTCTCCTGATTCCATAGGTCTATTGTCTTGGTTGGTAGAGTTATAGTTTAACAGTTGTATATACAATATTTATGTTAGTTGTTGCACTAAATCCGCTGTTAAATTGAACCCATAGACTAAATTCAAAGAGAGAGAAGATTGGAGGGAATCTAAATCCCTCCCTCATGCTATTCATAAGTCATAAATGTAGATTTTATTGTTTAATTAACAGCAGTTGGATCAAGTGGAAGAGACTCAATTCTTCATTAGTAAAATTAAGGATTCGAATTTTATAGATTCAAAAAAATTCACAAAATACCTCTATTTGAGTATGAGAATAGTTAAATCTGACTCAATGGTGTTGGATATCAGATAATTGTTTGCAATGTACAGATTAGCATTTAGTCAATAAATATTTAATGTAAAATAAACAAAGGCATATATTTTTAGGCTATCACGGAGATGCTATGGGATGATATATAGTGATAGCTAGGTACAGATGGTTTGTCCAATGAAGAAGTTCACGAGTTGAGAGGCTGACTATTATTTGAGCATTTTGATAAAGTGGTCTGAGAAATGCCTTCATAGGAAATTTCATCCTCTTTTTTGAGGGCCATTGGTGGCCTCATTCTCTTGTCCTTTTTCACTGTGATCAAATAAATATCTTATCAACAGTGCTCAGCTTTAGGGTCCCACCAATATAATCACAGGCACACTGTAAAGGGAGCAAGAGAGCCAATGAACATTTCAAGTTCAAATTACATTGAAGACACTTAATTAGAGTCCCACCCAATATTTTTAAAATAAGACTCGATATTGAACTGAAAAGGTCAATAATTTATAGTTCATATGATTGAATTTAGTTAGATCAATGATCGAACAAACAATATAATATTTAAATAAAAATAATATTAAATGTATTATAAATACAAGAAAAAAATTTATGGTATGTTAATCAAGTAACATAACATGATTTTAAATTAATAATATTATAAATTATAATTTTATAACTTATCAAATATAGGTGTATCTTGGTTAAATTATATATAAGTAGACTTAAAAGTATCTGTGTTTGTATATATAATTGTCAATATTTTTATAAAAAAATGGCCTCAAATCATATTTTATATATGTGAATTATTCAAAAATAAAATTTTCTTTTAATAAGATCTAATTTTTAATTTTTTTTAGTTTTTTTAAATTTTTAAGTTTTTTTTAATATTATGTTTAAATCTGTCTAATTTTTTGAAAGCCATTTTAGTTTATGGGTCAACTCTGATTTATGACTTCATAGTGGCTCAACTTTAATTCAATCCAACTTAATTATGAAAATGATTTTTTGGTCTAAATGAAGTCATGAATGACTTTGGTTGATAGTCTGATTGGTCTAGTCGTTCAGTTCAGTCCAATTTTAAATCATTGGTCCCACACCACTTTTTTTTTTTTTTGCCAGAAAAAAAGAAGTTTTCAAGCGATTCAAATCTAAACTTGCGTTTGAATCCTAGAAGGCCACATTAATATGGAGAAAGATAAGAGAAAGAGACTCTTTCGATTACATAGGTATGGATACGTTAAACGGCTTGAAACGTCAGCCTTTTATAGTCCTCAAATGTTAGACTTAACAATTGTTTTTTTTAATAAACAATTAAATGAGATGCAAAAAAGGAGCTCGCGTCTTAACCTAATCTGAGGACTAGGGCTGTACACACTGACTCAATGGTTGGTTGGCTTGGTCTTGCAAAACCCATTGGGGCTCCTCCGGGCAGGCTTCAAACATATGCCATTTTTTATTTTTTTAAATAATATTTATTTTATGGTATTATTTTGGTTAAGAATTATCATACACCATATTATTTTCAGGTCTTTGTGAAGTTAATATTATGTAGAAATAATTGACAATTGTTAATTATATGTAAGTTTTAAAAATTAGTCTTCATTCTAACGTTAGTTTTTGTAAAGATATTTTTAAATGATAATAATTATATTTTTCAAAAATATTTATATATTTTCCAAAAAATATTTTTAAAAAATTTTATCTAGCCTAGCCAAAGCAAGTTGAACACTTCGCATCGGGCTATCTTAAACTACATATCGAGTTAGGGCAATACTCAGCTTGAGCTTGCCCATGTATAGCCCAATTGAGAATATAGCTTGAAAATGGACGGCTCAAGCTCATATGCCTAATTATCCTAAAATCAATCTTTTTTTTTTTATGTTTGACTTTTATTCATATGGCTCAGGGTAGAGCCCATAAGCTCATTTTTATTATTTTTTAATTTTTTAGGTTTTATAAATTAAAAAATTTCAATTATAATATTTCATATTCTCTTTTAAAATACAAATGTTTAAAAATTTAAAAATAAATAATAGAATTTTAATTTTAAAATATAAACATATCTTTTATTTTTTAGAGGTAAAATAAAAAGGCTTTAAATGGACCACTTGAGTCTAAGTCCTTTTTTCAAAGCCTATTCAAAGTTGAGTTTCAAAATTTAATTTCCCTAAAAAGTGTTTTTTTTAAGCCCAATCTCTTATAAAAGTGATTTTTCGTGGGTAGCCTGTCTGGCCAATTAGCCCTTATTCCCAACTCTAACTAAAGTTGTTAATTGCCATAATATTCCTTCTATATAAAATTATAAAACACCTTTGAAAATATTTTTTTATTTCAAAATATAAAACAATTTTAGAATAATAAGATTTTGTTTAGTGGTGGAGCCAAGATCTCAGCTTAGGAGGTGCAATATAATTTAAAAATATTTAAAAATAAAATTTAATAATTAAAATTTTAATTTTATATCTTATAGTTATGATTTCATGTTTTAAAAAACATTGAATATGAAATAAAAAAATAAATGATTTAAAACATTGGTGTGAAAGTTTTTTGTTTAATATATGTAAAATTAAAATAAATAATGACATTTTCAAGTTAGTGAGTTTACAATTTATATTTAAATTTTATTAGTTTTTAAGTTATAACACATACATATATAGTATACATGAAAAAACCTATTTAAATCAAATATATTTAGATATGAATAAAGACTAAGTGGCTTGCAAATAATAAGTGTAAGATATGTAGAATATAAAAAAAAATAGAAGATCTAAAAGCTTAAATCTTACACAATCTAATCATAAAAAAAAATATTTGCATTTTTAATATAAAATAAAGAGCATTTTGTAAAATGAATAGAAAGGATGTGATTATTGCAATTTAAGTGACTTTTTTGTCAAACACAGTAAAGCACGCAAACCACAGGAGGTGTAGATTCCATATTTCTTTCTCATGTGGCGTGATTATCAAGATTTAAACTCTTTCAAATTTCTCTCTCCTTCATCACACATTGAATTATTGATGTGCATCTCCCAATTTCTCTCTCCTTCATCACACATTGAATTATTGATGTGCATCTCCCCCCCCCCCCCCCAAAACCAAGTTTAATGCGACTTCGCCACTGGTTTTGTTAGTAAGACTTTTCTTATATTACCCATTAAGTGAGAGAGAATTGTAATGATATTATAACATAATGATTAAGTATGTAAAGATATTTTTAAAAGTTTGTAGTTTAAATTTGAAAAAATAAGTTTATAAAGTATCATTATTGTGTTTTATTGGTATATATAATCTTATCTTATAATTTGGAATGAGGGAAGTACTTTCTAGTTGCATAATATTTTCATGTAGCTCTCATTAAGGGACACATCGTAAAGGCATTTCACATGCCTATTATTCTTTCCCCGCATTTAATTTCAAACTTGTTTAGTTGTTGAATTTTCTATGATTTAATATCTAATTGACGCTACTTCAACAGTTTAAAATAATGAAGTCTATGAAATTTATGGCCATTAATCTTAAAAATACAAATTTTTTCCGAGAACTTTAGAAAATAAATTACTAATGATATTTACTAAAAAGTTTTCTTATATACATGTGATAACAAGAAGTTTACTATAGGAATGCATATATGTTTTTTGTTGCACTTATATGATTGTGTGTATGTATCTAGGCTTGAGATGTGAAAATATGTAAAGTGTGATTGTGAAAGTTGAAATACTAATACAAGGGCAAGATTATATGTTTAGAATGGTTATATTATATGAAATTGGCCAATGAATGATTTTGTGTGCATATGTGCAAAAAGGCCCTATTTTAATATAAATCAAGGCATTTGGATGGCCAAAATGTATTATAATTTCATGATTGTTGTTATAATTGTTCAATCAAGTAAATAATGTCCTATTGGATGTGATTAAGGCTCCAGTGATAGCTAATGACACAGGTTATGATTTGGGACAATTGGATATAGAAAAGTGATAAAAAGTAATTATTTTACATTTGAATGTTTAATTTTTAAAAGAAATATTATATTGAGGTGAAGAAGTTGGTGTCATTAGTTAGATTGTGAGAAAAACTTCATGTACGTGCTTGAATCACATCAATCGAATGTTGTATGTGAAAATGACGTATGTTCGAAATTCAAGCAAAATAGTTGTTATAACATCATTTTTGTTATTATGAGCACGTGCGCCACGACGCATGATACAGGGACTTGAAATTGCTCTCTGTACCATATGCTAAGGTGGATGTAGCACATACTGTAGTGTATGGTTCATTTTGGATAAAAATGACTATTTTGCCCCTATTTTTCTAGTGTATAGTGCTTATACATTCTTAAATGCTTCTATTGTGTATAAATATTTATATTTTAAAGGTTTAACATGTTTTTAAAAAGATTTTTAGAATCCCAACTATTT